AAAGACGAACAAAAAGATGAAAAGTTAGTCAAAGAATTGGCCAAAAAGTTGGCAAAAATCCATGCCTTAGATGTGCCAATAAAACGGACCGGGAATTGGATTTTTGAGACTTTCGATGCATTTTATGTTGAGGCCAACAAAAACTATGACATGAAAGCATTGATCAATGAATGCAATTGCGAGACATTGAAGACGTATGACTTGAAGGCAGAGGTCGATTGGCTTAAGGACTTGATCACCAAAACTGATTCTCCGATTACTTTCACTCACGTGGACTTCAGGGGATCCAATATAATGATCACCGAAAACGACGGAATAGTACTTTGCGACTTTGAATACGCCTGTTATGACTACAGGGGCTATGATATCGGCACCATATTTGCCGAATGGGGCAAAGGATTGGCTGATATATCAAAACCGCAGGACTTTCCAGAAGACTCAACATTCAAGCCCTTTATCGACTCGTATATCAATGAATCAATTAATTTGTTGGGAAAGCAATTCAGTGAAGACAAGAGGAATTCCTTCGACCACATCCTAAAAGAGGGCAAAATATTTAATTTGGTTTCCAATATGTTTTTCGTATTAATGATTTATAAGGCAAATGAGGCTATTGTTGTGGGAATGCCTTTTGATAAAAAGAAAGCAATGGTATTATTGTATTTAGTATTGTATTTAGCTTGCTATTTTTTAAATTATTAAATGTGTGTTTTATTTTCACAGGAGGCTTGCGATTTGTTTTACAAGAATTATTATTACCTTAAAAATCAATTTATTTCTAATAAGGGTTTTTAACGAATTCCGTCAAATTACTTTCAGTATTCAATAAATAATAAATATAATTTATTTCATGACAAATCAAATTTTATATTAAAGTCAATGGCTTGGTAATATTTATTTATTATTGTCATATTGGCTACAATTATTGTTTCTTTGTTTTATTTTGATATTTTCTTTGTTTGATTCTTGGAAACTATAAAAATAAAAGTATATTAACATTAAATTTATAGAATGTAATTAATTTAATAGATATTTTGAGTGCAATTATACTTTAAAGAACATTGAGAATTAATTATGATATAAAAATGGCATACAAGTTCTCGAAAAACATTTGAATGATGAATATTTTTAAATTTTAGATAAAATATTTATCATGTGTTTATTACCGTAGTCATTTAAATAAAGCAAAGAATTTTATTTACTGTAAACAATATTTTTAGAATAATAAAATATAAACAAATAAGTTAACAAACTTATTTTCATTTATTAGTCTTTTATGAAAAATAATACAAAATAAATTTATATACTGTACAAAAAACTTAGAAATTTATTATTTAATAAAATAATCACAAACATGTTAAATTGTATAAATTTCAAATAATTATAGAATATTTTTATAATTTCAAAATTGTGTGTCTATGCACTGATTGATGTAGTGAAATTCAATATAATTACAGTACAATCTGCACAGGAATTAAGATATTAAAGAAGTAATCGACATATTAATATGATACATTACAATTATAAATCAATGTATCAATGTATAAAAATATTTTACATTAATTTCATTTATTTAATATAGTGAATATTCTTAAACAAAATCAATCCACATTTTTGGTTACAAAAATGAATATAAGTATCCTTCAGCTTAATATATAATTGTAAATATTTAAACAAATCCTTGAAAATAATTGATTTGTTCATTAAATACAGTTGAGGTGACAGCCTGTGTTTAAACCTATACGACCAGAACGCACTCAAACACGAGATAAACATTAATTGATAGACTAATCAGAAAACGTATGTCTGATTAAAGCACCGGCAGCAAATCATTTACACTGAATTACCCTTCTGTATAAATACTGAATAAACTTTATTATTTAAATTTCTAATTGACAGAAAAGTGTTCAATTTTCTAAAGTATAGGAATAATGAGTACCGAAACTAAAATGGGTGACGAGAATAACAATAAACATTTTGAATATCCCGAAAATCCTGAAGACTTTGATTTTAGTTCACTTACACTGGAGAGGGGTGACACTCCTCAAGATATTAAAGAAAGGTGTTTTGACTTGTGTCACGACTATTTGGGAGGCGTATGGCGTCGGGTGAACATCGATGACATCGAAGTGAAGCGACTGAGCGGTGGTCTCACGAATCAGTTATACTATTGTGCTCTCAATGAAGACCATAGAAAACTGGTAACAACTGAACCAAAAGAGGTGGCCATCAGATTGTATTTGGAAAAGCATTTCAATAATACTGATCATGAGGGCAATGAGAGACTTACAGATGTTATTATAGCTCTCATTATGTCTGAGAAGAATTTGGGACCAAAAATATATGGACTCTTTGAAGGCGGACAAATCCAGAAATATTATCAAGTATTAAAATAATACCTAATATTATTTATTTATAATATTTATTTATTTATTTATGATTTTGAATAAAAAATTTTTGTTCCTAACTATAGCACCAATGCTTTCGTACGGAACAACACAATGACTTAAAACTTGTACAAGAATTGGCTCAAAAGTTGGCGAGAATTCACTCAACAGTGGTTCCCATAAAGAAGAACTCGAATTGGATTTTCGACTTTTTCGACAACTCATACGACGACGCCTACAAACTGTTTGATTTAAAGGCATTGTATAGAGAGACCAATTGTGAGACATTACTTAGACATGATTTGAAAGACGAGTTGGAATGGCTTAAGAAAGTGATCACTGAAATCGATTCCCCCATAACTTTCACTCACATAGACTTCAGGGG